TGCCAAAAGATATACATCAAAGCACTACAGAGCCTACACAGGGGGAACCTCCAAACTCACCACATAAATCTCACAGCACAGTTAAAGGCACCCAACGCAATTTTAGGACAGTAAAACTGGATTTTCACAATTTTCTGGTCATTTCTTAAACAAAAATCAACCCTATCCTATACCATCATTTTTACTAATATCTGTGATGCAAAAATGGCATTTCGGAAAACAGTTGCTTGTTTTGTATTGTAGGCTGACTTTAGCTATTATTGGTGATACCCAAAATTGAAGAGAATCCTCGTGAAGCTTGTTTTCAAATGCTCAAAGTATTAAAAAAAAACATGGCTAAAATGTGCTAAGAAATTGCTATAAACATAAATATCAGAGAGATTTCCTTGTTGAGAATATTTATTTTTTTTATTTTGCCTCACAGAAATTGCATTGGATGCTTTTGACTTGCAAATACCGAACTGCTTTGAATATATGGCATGAGTTATCTTACGACTTGTCTGCAGCAATACAGGGCTAAAACTAAAAGAATACTTCAACAGGTATAACTACTACGGCTTTTCTGCCCTCAGGCCAAGAGTACCAGCTTTTTCAGAGCAATAAAAGAACAGTGTATTCCAAAAATGGGCATTCACCATATGCAAACTGTGAAGTCATGAATAGTTACAATCATTAGTAGTACAACAATATTATTTTTGTTACTTTCCAACTTGAAAAGGGACAACAAGTTGCAAAATTCAAGCCTCAGCTGCCAGTGAAGTGACCTTGGTTTATAAAGTGTGAAAAAGGCACCACCTACACATTTCTTACAAGATCATAGGATATTCTACAACAAGTTCTACCAAGTTCTGGCACCGGCAAATGAAAATGCTGACATGATTTGACGGACGTCAACCACAAAGCCACAGCATCTTGCCTTGCATTATATGAGCATGGTCTCCATAACTCTGCCTATCTGCTGCTCAATTTGACATTTCCTTCAAATCTACCATAGCTGCTTGGTAAGAACAATGCGTAGGAGTTCCCCCCCAAAAAAAAAATGAGACATTGGCAAGCAGAGCATGGATTACATCAAAAGGTGAAGCCACACAATTTAATTTGTTGCTTCTCACTCAGATCACCCTGTGCATTTTTTTCTGATTTGCAAGAAAAAAAATGTTCTAAATTAACTGCAAAATGCTCAATGAAAGACATATTTGGGCCCAACTGGTTGAAAAAAAAGTCCCTTTCTTCCTACTTCTTTAAGTTTTTCAATGTAAAAATGCAATCTTTTTATTAAAAGTTCAAAATCTATTGTTTTGATTATAAACCAGCCTGGTGTGTTCACTTCATGGCTCATATTGTAACATTTCTGGCTATCATGGGGTGCCTTGGCCTGTTTGTTTGTTTTTTTTGTTTTGCTTTTTTTATTTTGTCGCTTAATTTTTTTTTTTTAAATCCGAGAAACAACAAATTAAATTGGTGTGGCCTGACTACTGGAAATTGAAACAATTCTTTATTTCCCCAAAATGTGGATGTGACGCTGTGGATGTGACGCTGACTCCAAATAGGAACCTCACAACACACTGACAACGGTTATGCCTCTAGGCAACAACTATCTCTCGCCACATGACCTTTGGCACTCACCGTCAAAATGGATTTGTCAGTTACAATATAGAAGAAAGACTTGTGTTGAAAAAAGAAATTCAAATACGACGGGATGGTACAACCTAACAAAAAAAATTACAAAACCAGTTGCATGACCAAAGAAAAAAAGTATGCCATGCCACCTATGAACAGAAACAAAACTACAAAGCCATTGATGAAAAAGTCAATAACAAACACGGACAAAATTGGGTGTTTATATTTTTCTAGCTACCAAACCTGAAACTCAAGAAACACTAGGACTGTCTGCTTTTCAATCAGACGCTGCAATGCAAAAAGTGAGACACTGCAACAAGTCAATGGTTGTCCCTGATAACAATGTGACTTACATACTTTGCATATGCACCTACCAAATTAATTTTCCTCATTGCAATATCAATATAGTGAAAAAATTATAATTTTGAGAAGTTAACGTTCTATCTGCAGCATATCCAGAACAAGTCCACCTGATGCAAATATCAGCCCCTTATCAGCAATATCAGGTCATATAATATGTATGATTGAATATATATGCAAAAGTACTGTCGTCACCTAAGTGGTATAATAATGGAAGTATAAGTTAACTGTCAATAACTGTAAAGAACCGTATAAATCATTCAAAGCCCTAGATTGGCATAATAATTCATATAAATGTACTGGTCTTGGCCATAAATGTGTAATTACTTAATCAGTTAATGCACACATGAATATGACATTTCAGTAATTGAATCAAATACTGAAGTTTCCCATACCACATGACAACAAAGTCATGTTTTGCTATCTAAATGCTCTCAGAGTCTCAAATTTTCATGGATTTCCTTCTTAAAATCATTAGAAAATGGAGGTAATCTTGTCAGCTAGACGGTATTCTCTTGATTCTATTTTATCTGACATACAGTAAAAGGTGAAATCAACAAATTTGGTCTTTAAAAAAGGAGGTAAATGTACTTCTACTTTGAGACATTTACTGTCAAAAACAAAGGCTGACACCATCATAAACAAGGGAAATTCATGAAGGATTTAATCCTAAGTATCCATTCAAAAGATGAATGTGTACAAGAAGGTTGCAGTGTGCATATCCTCACTTACATGTCTCAACACATGGGCCATGACATGAAGAATGGATACTGCTTCATTCTTAAAGCCTGTAATTAAAGGAATGACATCAACCAGTGTTTACACAATTCACCTGTCTGTACTGTCAACACATACCAATTGTGCTTTTTTTGTGTTCCTCATATATCACCAATTTGAGGGTAATACCGTCTCAAATGGAGGCGAAACCACAGGTTTCTGCTAAAAATAAACAGCGGCGGGTACTATGAATAATGCAGGCTATTACCAGGCTCACCTAGAGTGATGAACTCACAGATAGTGGAAGCCCAGCACAAACATGGCCATACCCAGGGGACAAATCATTTACTATCTGGTGTTATACTTAGGCCCTTTTTGTTTACCAATCCCTGACCATTAGTAACATATTCACAACAATGCGGGCAGACAATCAAGACACGGGCAGTGAGAGTCATGACTTTCCATGTGCGGTGTACCTTACATGTTGTTTGTGATTCATATTCTTTGTGGTGAAATAAATAAAGAGGCCATAATCACTGGGGCAAATGTCAACCACGCAAACCATGAAAGTAAATTCCAATCTCATAGAGGTTCTGTTAGTTGTCAATGAGTGTCTGTCCAAATGCTACTTTGTTAGTTTGTATCCAAAAATCAATTACTACTAGTATCACTAAAGACAAAAGGTCTTGTTGTTTTTTGACAGTATGGCCACAGCAATTTAATTTCTTGGTTAACGGATTTCTCTACAAAAATAATGGAGCGGGCGGGCGAAAAAAATAAATAAATAAAAACAGACCTATGCATCCTATTATATTCCAAATTGGTACGATAGGAGCCATGAAGTCAACACACCAGGCTGGTTCAAAATTTAAACAATGAATTTTGAACTTTTAATGATACCATTGCATTGAAAGATGGAATAACTGTAACAAGTAGGGAGAAAAGGACAGTTTTCAACTGTTCAGGGCAAAATATGAGCATTTTGCAGTTGGTTCTGAATTTTTTTTTGCATATCAGAAAAAAATGAAGCGGGCGAATCTGTTAACCAAGAAATCAAATTGGTGTGGCCTATGGGGTAATTTTTTCTCAACTGGCTACCAGCAGTGAAGGGTGCAGGCATTATTCAGATCCTACAATTAGTACAAAGAAACTTGACCCTTAGCAGACCCAGAAAGTGAGATAAAAAATTACGTGTACCTTTTAAAGAAAGACTGTAAACCTGTCATACACTTCAACAAACATTCTTCAAACACTCTTACCAGACTAGCCGTGTGAGTCAAGGTTTCGTTTAGCTATTCCAGGCATAGGTCAGGTTTAGTATCGCTGTAAGATAGAATAAAACCGATTTATAGGGAACTTAAAAAGTAATGACGTGAAGAATATCTATCAACTCCAGTTACAGGACGGTAATCATATCAAAGCATTCATGTAGAAAAAAACTCCCTACCAATCCCATATACAGTGGCTCTTTTTCCCTGATGAGATTTCCAAGCTGGTTTATATGGTGATTAAATAGCTTTAACCTGAGAAATTTGGCTTCAAATTTCTCCACCTGGATTTAATATTTGGAATATGGAATATGTATTACAGAAACATTGTTAGGAAAACAGACAAAACCTAACATGGAAAACAGCTACCATTTTCATGGAAAGCAAGCTAACACTTTTGCAGAAAAAACATATACCGATACATGATACACAGATCCATAGAAGTAGAATGCAAAGAACAAACCTGTACAGATTTTTTTTGCAGATTTTCCTTCATGTATGCCATGAATCTTCAGTATCCATACTATCTAGGGTAGACTGCCGTGTATTGTTGTAGGGATGACCTGAGCGGATTAGTACCTGAATGTACAATTATGTTTTCACAGGGGAAGACAATACACTCTACCGTGGTGCTTTGTGAAATAATGAGCTATTGTTTTCACACAAAAATGCAGGGGGGCGGTACGTAAATTGAGGGGATTGTCATAATTGTCTTGTAAATCATTTGTGTTGCAATTATGGGCGGTGCTAAATTGAGGTCATAGGTGTGCAGTAATAAAAATACACCCACCCACATTAGCACCTGGACAAGATAGATGTACACATACCTCACATGGTGAGCAAGTCGCATCTTCACCACTCAAAGGGTAATAAAAACAAACCACTCAACCCTCCAACAGCGGTTCTGGAGGTCCGGGAGCTACAGGAGGGACGTTGTGGTTGTAGGAGAGGTTGTGTGTTGGGTTAGAGGGTGTGACTCGGAGGGGGTTGGGACACAACAACAGGACACAAACCAACAAGACTCGAAAAGGATATCTGCCTCTTTTCAAACGGTGCCAGTCTGTTGCGGTGTTGAGCTGCTAGCATGCGGGACCTGTCAAAGCCGGGCCTTCGGTCCACGAACCCCGGCTGGGCTCCGCGTTTGATGTCTTCTAAGCTGTGCAGGGCGCCCTGGGCCGGGAGAGAGCAACACAGAACAGGAAGCGGCGTCAGAACAACAAGCTGCCCCAAACAACTTGCACAGAAACGACACTTACGCACTGCGGGGCACGGGCACACGCCGAGCTACACGGACCTTAACGTACCTGTAAATCAATGGCACCGGTCCCTATCTGGTTGACGTTCGGCAGGGAACCGCCACGGTATGCTCCGAGAGCCTGTGCCATCTGCATTTTCTGGTATTGCGCCTGGAAAGAGAAAGAGACAGAGGAGCGCCATCATGGGGGAGGGCGCACAGGAGAGAGCGTTACGAGAAGACTATACTTTAAGGACGTGACCTGGGAATTAGGACTTACCCCAGCACTGGCTCTTGTAGCGCCACTCACTTCCTTCATGATCTGCTCAAAAGCGGCCGTCTCTTCGGCCTGCTTTTGGTTGTGGAGCGCGATTTTTTCACTGAATTTGCGTGGGTTCGCCATGATGGCCGCCCTGCGACAGAGCACAAGCTGTGTTGTCATTCAGGCGTCGTGGGGGGTCACAAGGTTTCTGGCCAATCAACGCCAAGGACGTGCATCACGTGACTTGTGTTAAGCCCAATCCTTTCTCCGCCAAGACGCAAAGCACGTCCCAGCCCATAACAAAAGCCATCTAAAAGGAAACTACACAAACCAACAAATGCCAAATAATCAGCTTGATTAAATGAACAATCGATTTAGAAAACTTGACACCTTGCAATTTGTCACGGTTTTCTTCAACCATCTATTTTTGGATGTTTTCCGACGAAGGTGTGTGTGAGGTCAACAGGTGACATTTTCACTTACCTTTTCAGAACATGTAACATGAACTGCTGTCTGGATGGACCAAAAAGACCTTGATACCGACTATCCTATGATATTTCCATGTGGTCATATTTTTCAATGATGACTAAAGTAATTTTTTCTCTTCTCAATTTACAGCTCACTTACTAGCGACATTTTATTTCTTTTGTTTAATTAATTCATTATGTTGTTTCATTTGCTTATTGCCAAACCTATTTCTTTTGTTTAATCTATGATTAAGGAAGGCCTTTACATACGCATATTAAGCTTTGAACCTCCATATTTCACTGTTACATTCATTTATATTTACTTGTTTATGCATCTGTGTGAGATAAACAAGCAAACGAAACAAAATCAACAGGTTGGTGTGCAGTAGCTGTAAGATGTGGCAGTGTCAGTCGCCTCCTGAATTTTACTGTGCCGTGACCCGGTTTTGAGGCGGGATGATAGTCTAACCAAATTGTGTCTGAAGTGTCAGCCGCCTCTTAAACGTTGTATGAAACTATAGTGGTAAGGATCCTGTGAGATGAGCTTATGTTGTTTCTACTATAGTGGTAACAGTGGTTCATCATATGATGCAGTATTTTGCACTTTTCTCCCTAATTAACAATAAAGACAAAGTCCTTTGAAATGAGGTTCTCTCAGAACATAAAATTTTACGACCATTTACATGTACCTGCTTTGTTATGCATCTTATTTTCCTATTAGGTACCGCCTAGAGAAGTTTATTAACGAAATACAAAATATCATCATGTTGATTCTAATGTGATTATTCTCTAGTAATATAGCACTAGCCTGGCCAGTCCAGGCTTGTTAGCTTTAGTCCGCTCCCCAAGATCCGCTAACAAGGCTGGGCACCAGGCTAATATAGCACACTCTCGTGTATGAATGGTCTTATTAACATTAAGTCGAATATACTACCAAAATTAAGTAACTCGACGGATGAAAGAGTGAATATATTACTAGTATTCTACATTTATATCAAAGATCGAATATACTAAACATTACCGAAACATGGTAAAGAAGTAGTAAAGAAGTGTCTCTAAAGCGTGTGGTAACACGCAACACGCCTGTGTTAATCTCTCACTGATAGAGGCTGATTAGAATCGTTATTATTTAGCCAGACTAAAGGTCAGGTGAAATCCCAGAGAAATCCCGCTTTAGTAGCAGGAGTCCGGTCTGATAAAATGGCTAGCCGCTAGACCTCTTGACCTACTCTTGTATGTGTGTGTGTCGCCTACGCTTATCACCGATGTTAGGCCACGTTGATTTGATTATTTGGACGACATCCTCTGGGAATCCCAAAACTGATGCGAGCGCAAGTTTGGCAAAAAAAATGTTGCCTTCATTATGAAATCTACGGTGGTCATGAAGGTTGAACAAATGACTAAACAAAAATATACTTATGGCAAATAACAGACTCTTCATTTTCGTTTCTTCCCATTTTCTTATTTTCCTATGGAATTATAATTAGTTTTGCAGCTGATTTGTACGATTTACAGTATGGTCGAAAACTTTTTTTGGAAACGGACAAAAATTCATACACGCGCGGATGTCATCCACATAATCAGATCAACATTTAACTAAAAATAAGTCGTCTGGGATTATCCTCCGTCTCCCAAGCGATGGTCCATCTAATAGCTTCTATTTCGGAGCCACCTTCTTAGAATAAATGGCATTATGTAAGATTGGGTTTATGGATAGAAAGTAGCTTTTCCTGTCACCCTATCATCAAACTAACATCAGTGCAATATAACATATAAACATGTGTGGAAATTAGACTCTTTTAAAGGCCGCTCCACTTCAACAGTTTATAGGGACCAAACCTTGTAGGGACAGAGCTTTGAAATCTACGCTTAGATGTTGCCGACACCGATGTGACCAAATAGGTCATATCCAATTGATGTAACACCCTTGGTGTAACGTTAGGGATTGTCTGGGGAAGAAAAGAATAAAACAAAATACGTGAGATGGGACGCGCCGCTGTGGCGTTCTATTTATTGCTGATACAAATTTACAGCCGCTGATCCTAATCTTCACAATTTCCAAACGGGTGGCTTTTCTGTTTGATGTGTCTTTCAGCGCTTTTCTCAGACGTCCACTGGATAACGCTTGTTTTTTCACCCGATGGCATGACAACAAATCTCCACGCATATGTGTGTGACATGGTGTGTGCATGATTTAGGCTTGGTACGCACGTCTTTGAGGTTAGCCTGGAATCCAGTCTCTTGGTCTCTTCCAACGTTCTCTGCGGTACCGTCCCAGTACGTAGCGACTGTTGGAAGCGGAAGACTGGATTTTAGGCTACTTTAAGGTCGGTCATTTTTTATTGCTGATGAGGTGACAACAAGTTTTAGTACAATTTTAACACCTGTTTAAAGCCTCTACCTGTGTATATATACTGTAAGAAGTATGTACCCTACTAATAAGTACATACTGTTTATATGTTGTCTATCGCATATGTAAATCTGCATCCAAGGAACTTCCGACGGCTACATGTACCTGTATGTATCAATGTGTAAACCATTGTAAATAGCTGTATTTTGTAATTTTATCTGTCATATATTTGCGTCTCTTAAAAAATCTCCAGGAAGCTATGCAGACAAATGTGTGTGAAGGTAATGAAAAAATAAAGTATCCAAGTACCACACCCTTCAGTTTGAAAAGAACTGATGATTATCAACCTTTTGGGAACCGGCTTTAGACCTTAGATGACCTTAAACTGAAAGCGGGTTCAAATCCAGCCCCAAGCGATCCTCCCACTCACCTGTTGGCAGCCCACAGTTAACTAGTTGTCATTGGGTGGCGAGAGATTGTGTGATCAAGCTAAGATATTTCAAGAGCTGATCACGCACGCGCACACGAGGTTGAATATCCCGTGTGCCGGGTCATACCTGGGAAACGCCCTGGCATTACACTACGAGATGTTGGTTGACGAAACAATCTACCATTGTGACACTTATTGTATAAGGGGTAAAGAAAATATGATAGAACTTATGATGGTAGCATCAGTCTGGATACAAATAGAAGAAATTATTTATGCAATCAGTCTAGTCACCACTTCAAAATGGTATGGGTCTTTCGTTGTCACTCAAAATCATTGTTATCACTCAAAAGCATTGTTATCATTAAAAATCATCAGTGTTATCACATAAAATCATTGTTATCACTCAAAATCATTGCTAGTGAACCTGAACAATAGTCCAGCGAAATCCTCTGTCAAATAATTCTCCCTGATTGACCTAATGTACTACTAGTATTTTCTCTGTCCATAAAGGAGTCTTGTAGATATTTATGCGAAATCACTGTGTACCAACAAGATCAATGGACTGCACTCGTCACTTGTTTTTCCTCTTTGCAGTTTTAGAAAATACCGGTAGACGTCGCTGTTTCGGGCGCTGCTCTTCCAATCAGCTGATAACGGGTTTCCAGGTTTGCCCGTGCAGGGGTCAGACGGCCGCCATTTTCTTTCGAGCCGGGAAGGGCATTCGAAGAAGGGCATCTCCACAGGTCGTCACCAAAATGCTGTCCGCACGCTTCACGGCAGCTCTCGCCAGGACCGTAACCCGACATGCAGTCAAAGTAAGAACACAGGGGACTACTTTGACGCCTACTCGTGGTTGGGAATCGTGGGAAGCACACGAAAAACGGTGGATTCACACCCGGCATGATGTTCGATACGGGCACCGGGAGTGTGCATGTACCTGCCATGTCACCGTTAAGACTTCAAATTTCGGTCCAAAGCTATGTGTTCTAATCACCATAGGGTTTGAGTATCGACTGGTTTCTGAATAACAATGTACCATGGGCATTAGTTTATATTTTAGTGCATATATCGCCGTGCACCGGTTGTGCTATGGCCACTTCTCTTTCGGTGACCTTTGCAGCTCCAACGAGATAATAAATTTGGATGTAAGAAGGGGGAGGGGGGCGGTTTTCAAACCAACGTGCCCTCGGTAAATACAAATGTAGTTTTCACTGTTTGTCAGCACGGTAGAGTAACCCGGCACTTTGGATTTCAGGAACATGTGTGGGTAAGATAGGTCTGGGGTAGGAAATAACCGTTTACTGAAGAATAGACTTTAAATAGTCTGAAATAATTATGAAGGGCATACATGATCATGTACTAGTAAGCTTTTTGTGTCCTTGTCGATACCCCCCCCCCCCTTCAGTTAGCAGATCTAATTTACCTGTAAAAATCTTAAATGTACGGGACTGAGGGTAACCAAATGGTTAAGCATAGGCTCCTTTTTGTGGTTAGTGTGTTAACATTTTCTCAGCGAAGTTACTTGAAGTAAAGCTTGAATTAAACACAAAGGATTGCTTGGTTACCTTGACCTATATTTTACTGTCTGTTGAATTATGTACATGTAGATTATTTTAGCCAATTGTTTTCTTTATGTCTACATTTATGTCTACATTTCTCTTCCTCCCCATTTTAGCATGTGAGGAAAGGGTATTATATGTGTATTTCAGGAGGTGACCTTTGTCTTGGTAGAAAGGTCAACAAATCACAGCCATGTTGAACCAATCCAAAGTCATAGTGCACCATAGTTGTTGGGCTATTCTTGTGCTAACTTTTCTCTCTGCCCTGTTCTACAGCAGGCATGTCGGGGTGCACCTGCTGCAGCTGTCCACTGCCGGCACCTGACCACGTCACCACGAGTCAGTGCTGCTGGAGGTACGACTGTGTGTTACTGTGAAAGTCTGACTTCATCCAGATCAACAGTTCATGTTGTCATGTGTATATTCTCACTGGGCTGTTTGAGGGTAGACGTACTGCACCTGTGCAAAACCCACAATGTATTGTGCATAGCACTGAACCCTTGTTCGGCGGAGCACAACAATTGTTGTTCTGCACATACAGTACCATCTATATAACACCCTCAGGCCCTGTATAAGTACAATTTGGGGGTATTTCTCGCGCAACGCATCGCACTGCAGCAAAGCGCAAGGACTGCGGAAGTAGCTATGCCACTGCAGGGCAAAAAAATTGGGGGGTGTATGATCTAATTAAGACATGAAATTATCGAAAAATATTGTGCCAGAAATGCCAGCAGGACAAGGGTTAAGCAGAATATCCCATATAAGTTTGTATTCGCGCATATAAGGTTAAAATTCCATCTTCGGTTTCCAAGTATTATGTCTGAGAAGATATCCTCTGCAACAGCCAAAATGTTGATGCAACGACGTTACGTTGATCAAACTTTCAACGAAAACCGTGAAAAATCAGGGTTTTGCGCAGACGCAGTACGTTCTGCCGACGTGCTGGGTAGGGGCCCCCTACTGTCTGACTTGGACCCCTGTGCTATGATTTACCCTCTTCAGGCCGTCACGGTTCTTCAACCCGTATAGCCTACAGGGGTGTTTCTTTTGGGGAGAACCTTGTGACCTGTAAGAAGTCTTTAAAAAAAAATTATTAAGATTTGACTTTAGAATGACATTTGTCCCTGGATAACCAGGAAATAGTGTTGCAGAGGGTTAAGAATGTTAAAATTTTCTTGGGAAAGTACCAGACTGCAGTGATGTCCTTGGGACTGTCTGACACAATGGTGAGAACCCTGTAACTGTAAGTTAAAAACACATTTCATTGATCAGAGAAGTGTAGGCAGCCATAAGATTGAGGAATGATTTTGTATGTTAGAACAGGTGTTCACCAGACTTGATGTTGTAACTTGTGCAGGTACGGCTGAGGTGTCCTCCATCCTGGAAGAACGTATCCTCGGTGCCGCGCCCAAAGCTGACCTGGAGGAGACCGGACGTGTGCTGTCCATCGGTGACGGTATCGCCCGTGTCTACGGCCTGAAGAACATCCAGGCAGAGGAGATGGTGGAGTTCTCCAGTGGTCTGAAGGTAAACATCTACTGTGCTTTGGCCAAATGTCAAGATTGTCTTGTCTTTGGGGTTTAGATAGTCAGCATGAACCTATTGATGAATCTGCTCCACTGGTGATTTCAAGTGAATCACCAACTCAGAACTGTGGAATCTGTACCATCACACACTGGGGCATGCCCCACTCTTTTTTGAAAGGCGTGGTGAGCTCTTTAACGCACTTGGGATGTGGCTGCTCCTCTCCCAAACATGGGACCTCCATTTAATGTCCTATCCGAGGGACATGCCTAACCGAAGCTAGGTACTTAGTACTCATTTCTACCTAAGTGAAGTGAGGAAGTCATGTATAGTGCCTTTCACAAGGACACAACATATCAGGTGATTGAACCCGGGACCTCTTGGTTCCAAACCAGACACTCACCATTACACCACACAGTTTTATATTATAGGCACCAATGAAGAAATGACAAATATGGGCTACTTCATTTGTACTCGGAGCCATTCTTCTAGCCTTTGTTGTCAAATATAGTAGTGGTATGTCAGCTATTAAGAGTTGTTTTCAGAGGTCTCTTGAAACAATACAAAAATGATCTTGTTTTAATTTCAGGGTATGGCCCTGAACTTGGAGCCTGACAACGTCGGTATTGTGGTGTTCGGTAACGACAAGCTGATCAAGGAGGGTGACATCGTGAAGCGAACCGGCGCCATCGTGGACGTGCCCGTCGGAGAGGAGATCCTGGGCAGGGTCGTGGACGCTCTGGGAGAGCCCATCGACGGAAAGGTAACGAGTTAGCGTGTCGATAGAACTTAATCTATCATGCTTAGCAATTTGGCAGAACATCTCCTTTAAGGACGTATTGGTGTATTTAAGGACGACAGGGTTCTAGCTAGGATGTAATTTTAGCATAGTGGCACTGGCCGCATGATGAGGGAGCGAAGCGGAGCTTTTAAAAATTTGAGCTAAAAAAAGAAGCCATTTTAGGGATACCTAAAGGGAAAAAAATGTTATTTCTAAGATATGTACAATGTATCCTTGATTTTTCACGTTTGATCTGGCATTCTTGAACAAAGAAATAGTCACAATGCCCCTATGCTGTATTAAAAATTAGCATAGGGGGAAAATTTAGCGTAGGGGGTCAAAATTATAGCGTAGGGGGCCCCTACGATACTTTGCACTAGCTAGAACCCTGGACGACATTCCGTCAAAAAGTTTTCAATTGTTGTGACAGAGAACAAACTGTCAGCTGCAGGCAAAATTAGGAATATGCAGTTCATCTTTTCTTTCAACTTGCGTGTGTCTTGTTTGACAGGGACCCATCCAGTCTAAGGAGCGGCGGCGTGTGGGTCTGAAGGCCCCCGGTATCATCCCCCGTATCTCCGTCAAGGAACCCATGTTGACGGGAATCAAGGCTGTGGACAGCCTGGTGCCAATCGGCCGTGGTCAGCGTGAGCTGATCATTGGTGACAGGCAGACTGGGTAGGTTTGGCAACTACGTAGTCTGTCAGGGCTCGAAATGATGAGGACATATGCACCTTCCTCGGTGCAGGTAGAATTGGGGCTGTGCAGGTATTTCTCATGTCTACTGGAACATGTAATGTGTTTATATATACATGTAAGTATTTGAATTTGTTATTTGGTGATAAAAGAAATAGTGCCAAATAGGTTTCTGAACTGTATTTGTGCAGGTAAATGTTGTCTGGTTACTTGCACTAGTGGAGGTATGCAGAAAAAGTATTTCGAGCCCTGTATGTATTTACACATGTGCATTTGTAGGTTTTGTAAGTAGACACATTGCAGGAATACATTATGCTAAATGCTTTAATATCTTCAGGTAGCTGATTAGCTGCTTTGGTATAGTTGTCACTCTTATTCTATACTGGTTTCTTCATGTGCTTATTGGTTAATGCTCACTCTGCAACCTGACTATTGTAAAAGTCATAATGCCGTCAATGTCGATATTGTTTCAAATTTGTTGATGCCCCTTTAAGGAACACGCAATCAAGAGTATCCTATAATTTATGAACCAATCAGTTCTAATTCTAAGTCCTTCCATCTATTCTTACTAGTAAGCTACATATTCTACTCAACATGACCTCTGTC